AAAGTGCAGGCATTGTACTTCCCATTTTCAGGACTCAAGTCTGGCTATATAAAAATAACTGGTTTCCCTGAATCCCTTCACTAAATATTACCCTGCTCACACTCCAACAGCTTGTCAGGCCCCAAATACCAATCATCTTCATTCACTCCTATCTAACACGCTCATGCACGCTTTCTGGAAGTCCAAGCCCCTCGCCCACAAAACTTCCTTTACCCTCCCCCCTCCAACCTTTTTGAGGACGACCCCTACCCCGCCTTCCTTTCCCTACAGATTTATATGCTCTCCATGTCATTCTACTTTGATCCATTCTCTCTAAATGACCAAACCACCTCAACAACCCCTCTTCAGCCCTCTGACTAATACTTTTATTAACTCCACACATTCTCCTAATTTCCACACTCCAAATTTTCTGCATAATATTCACACCACACATTCCCCTTAGGCAGGACATTTCCACTGCCTCCAACTGCCTCCTTGCTGCAGCATTTACAACCCAAGCTTCACACCCATATAAGAGTGTTGGTACTACTATACTTTCATACATTCCCTTCTTTGCCTCCATAGATAACGTTTTTTGTCTCCACATATACCTCAACGCACCACTCGCCTTTTTTCCTTCATCAATTCTATGATTAACCTCATCCTTCATAAATCCATCCGCTGACACGTCAACTCCCAAATATCTGAAAACATTCACTTCTTCCATACTCCTCCTCCCCAATTTGATATCCAGTTTTTCTTTATCTAAATCATTTGATACCCTCATCACCTTATTCTTTTCTATGTTCACTGTTAACTTTCTACCTTTACACACACTCCCAAACTCGTCCACTAACCTTTGCAATTTTTCTTTAGAATCTCCCATAAGCACAGTATCATCAGCAAAAAGTAACTGTGTCACTTCCCATTTTGTATTTAATTCCCCATAATTTAATCCCACCCCTCTCCCGAACACCCTAGCATTTACTTCTTTTACAACCCCATCTATAAATATATTAAACAACCATGGTGACATTACACATCCTGTCTAAGACCTACTTTTACTGGGAAGTAGTCTCCCTCTGCTATCCTATTCTCTGTCTTACTCTTAATTCTTTCAATAATAACTCTACCATACAATTTACCAGGTATACTCAACAGACTTATCCCCCTATAATTTTTGCACTCTCTTTTGTCCCCTTTGCCTTTATACAAAGGAACTATGCATGCTCTCTGCCAATCCCTAGGTACCTTACCCTCTTCCATACATTTATTAAATAATTGCACCAACCACTCCAAAACTATATCCCCACCTGCTTTTAACATTTCTATCTTTATCCCATCAATCCCGGCTGCCTTACCCCCTTTCATTTTACCTACTGCCTCACGAACTTCCCCCACACTCACAACTGGCTCTTCCTCACTCTTACAAGATGTTATTCCTCCTTGCCCTATACACGAAATCACAGCTTCCCTATCTTCATCAACATTTAACAATTCCTCAAAATATTCCCTCCATCTTCCCAATACCTCTAACTCTCCATTTAATAAAGGTAGGGGGTGTGTGGACCAGGTGTTTACAGTGAAACATATAAGTGAACAGTACGTATTTAGATAAGGCTAAAGAGGTTTTTGTGGCATTTATAGATTTGGAAAAGGCGTATGACAGGGTGGATAGGGGGGCAATGTGGCAGATGTATGGTGTAGGAGGTTGGTTACTGAAAGCAGTGAAGAGTTTTTACGAGGATAGTGAGGCTCAAGTTAGAGTATGTAGGAAAGAGGGAGATTATTTCCCAGTAAAAGTAGGCCTTAGACAAGGATGTGTGATGTCACTGTGGTTGTTTAATATATTTATAGATGGGGTTGAAAGAGAAGTAAATGGGGAGGGTCTTGGCAAGAGGCGTGGAGTTTAAAAGATAAAGAATCACACAAAAAGTGGGAGTTGTCACAGTTGCTCTTTGCTGTTTGACACTGTGCTCTTGGGAGATTTGAAGAGAAGTTGCGAGGTTGGTGGGATGAATTTGGTAGGTTATGCAAAAGAAAAAAATTAAAAGTGAATACAGGAAGAGTAAGGTTATGAGGATAAACAAAAGAAATTTGGTGATGAAAGATTGGGTATCAGATTGGAGGGAGAGGTATGGAGGAGGTGAATGTATTCAGATATTTGGGAGTGGACGTGTCAGCGATGGGTCTATGAAAAATGAGGTTTAATCATAGAATTGATGAGGGGAAAAGGGTTAGTGGTGCCCCTTTAGGAGTCTGTGGGACAAAGAACTTTGTCCTTGGAGCAAAGGGGGAATGTATGAGAGTATAGTTTTACCAACGCTCTTATATGGGTGTGAAGCATGGGTGATGAATGTTGCAGCGAGGAGAAGGCTGGAGGCAGTGGAGATGTCATGTCTGAGGGCAATGTGTGGTGTGAATATAATGCAGAGAATTCGTAGTTTGGAAGTTAGGAGGAGGTGCGGGATTACCAAAACTGTTGTCCAGAGGGTTGAGGAAGGGTTGTTGAGGTGGTTCGAACACGTAGAGAGAATGGAGCGAAATAGAATGACTTCAAGAGTGTATTGGTCTGTAGTGGAAGGAAGGCGGGGTAGGGGTCGGCCTAGGAAAGGTTGGAGGGAGGGGGTAAAGGAGGTTTTGTGTGCGAGGGGCTTGGACTTCCAGCGGGCGTGCGTCAGCGTGTTTGATAGGAGTGAATAGAGACAAATGGTTTTTAATACTTGACGTGCTGTTGGAGTGTGAGCAAAGTAACATTTATGAAGGGATTCAGGGAAACCGGCAGGCTGGACTTGAGTCCTGGAGATGGGAAGTACAGTGCCTGCACTCTGAAGGAGGGGTGTTAATGTTGCAGTTTAAAAACTGTAGTGTATAGCACCCTTCTGGCAAGACAGTGATGGAGTGAATGATGGTGAAAGTTTTTCTTTTTCGGGCCACCCTGCCTTGGTGGGAATCGGCCAGTGTGTTAATAAATAAATAAAAATAGTCTCCCTCTCTTCTACACACCCTTACCTGAGCCTCATTGTCCTCATAAAAACTCTTTACAGCATTTAGTAACTTACCACCTATTCCATATACTTGCAGCATCTGCCACATTGCTCCCCTATCCACTCTATCATATGCCTTTTCTAAATCCATAAATGCAATGAAAACTTCCCTACCTTTATCTAAATACTATTCACATATATGCTTCAATGTAAACACTTGATCTACACATCCCCTACCCACTCTAAAACCACCTTGCTCATCCGCAATCCTACATTCTGTCTTACCTCTAATTCTTTCAATAATAACCCTACCGTACACTTTTCCTGGTATACTCAGTAAACTTATTCCTCTATAATTTTTACAATCCCTTTTGTCCCTCTTCCCTTTATATAAAGGGACTATAGATGCTCTCTGCCAATCCCTAGGTACCTTCCCCTCTTTCATACATTTATTAAACAAAAATACCAACCACTCCAACAATATATCCCCCCTGCTTTAAACATTTCTGTCATAATCCCATCAGTTCCAGCTGCTTTACCCCCTTTCATTCTACGTAATGCCTCATGCACCTCCCCCACACTGACATCCTGCTCTTCTTCACTCCTACAAGATGGTATACCTCCCTGTCCAGTGCATGAAATTACCGCCTCCCTTTCTTCATCGACATTTAAAAGTTCCTCAAAATATTCTCACCATCTACCCAATACCTCCATCTCCCTAGGCTTTCTTAACTTGTTTAACTCGCTCCAAAATTTTTTCTCATTTTCATTAAAATTTCTTGACATTGCCTCTCCCACTCTATCATCTGCTCTCCTTTTGCACTCTCTCCCCACTCTCTTCACCTTTCTTTTACTCTCCATATACTCTACTCTTCGTAGAACACTTTGCTTTTAAAACCTCTCTTTCTCTTTTATCGCACCCTTTACTTCATCATTCCACCATCACTTCTTTTTCCTCCTGCCCCCACATTCCCTATAACCATAAACTTCTGCCCCACATTCTAATACAGCATTTTTAAAACTATTCCAAACCTCTTCAAATCCCCCCCCACTTCTCATACTTGCACCAGCCCACCTTTCTGCCAGCAGTTGCTTATATCTCACCCGAACTCCCTCCTCCTTAGTTTATACACTTTCACTCCCTCTTATTTGTTGTCATTTTCCTCTTGCCCCCATCTACCTCTTACTCTAACTGTAGCTACAACTAAATAATGATCCGATATATCAGTTGCCCCTCTATAAACATGTACATCCTGGAGCTTACCCATCAACCTTTTATCCACCAATACATAATCTAATAAAATACTTTCATTATGTGCTATATCATACTTTGTATTATTTATTTATCCTCATTTTCATAAAATATGTAATTACTTATTACCAAACCTCTTTCTACACATAGCTCATTAAAGGCTCCCCATTTTCATTTACCCCTGGCCCCCCAAATTTATTCTACTTACTCCCTCCACAACATTTTTACCCATTTAGCTTTGGGAAATCCCCAACCACAAGTACTCTCACACTTGGTTCAAAACTCCCCATGCATTCACTCAACTTTTCCCCCAAATCTCTTCTCTTCCTTTACACTTCTCTCTTCTCCAGGTGCATATATGCTTACTATAACCCACTTTTCACATCCAGCCTTTATTTTACTCCACATAATCCTAGAATTAATACATTTATAGTCCGTCTTTTCCTGCCATTGCTTATCGTTCAATATTATTGCTACTCCTTCTATAGCTCTAACTCTATTTGAAGCCCCTGACCTAATCCCATTTATTCCTCTCCACTGAAACTCTCTCACCCCCTTCAGCTTTGTTTCACTTAAAGCCAGGACATCCAGCTTCTTCTCATTCATAGCATCCACACTCATCTCTTTCTTATCATCTGCAGAACATCCAAGCACATTCAGACATCCCACTTTGACAATTTTCTTCTTATTCTTTTTAGTAATTATTACAGGAAAAGGGTTACTAGCCCATTGTTCCTGGCATTTTAGTTGACTTTTACAACACGCATGGCTTATGGAGTTAAAATTCTTATTCCACTTCCCCATGGATATAAAAGGAAAAGTACAAATTCACTGTTTTTAAGTGATGAATAAATTATGTCGAGAATTTCAATTATTGCATCATTAGTACTCTTTCCTGAAACTAAACTGACAGAGGCTTATTACATTCTCTCTCTTTCCTGACTTTGTCATACTATCTGAAAATTAATAATTATAATGCAATTGCCTTTACAGAGTGTGGAGTTCCTGGTGATAGAGATGAGTGGTGTTAATTACATTGACTCCAGCGGTGGGAAACTTCTGTCACAGTTGTGTAAGGAATACCAGGAGGCTAGTGTTACTGTGTGTCTGGCTGCACTTTCAGGTATGTTGAGTGTGTGTGTGTGTGTGTGTGTACACTGTTTGTTGTGGTACACTGTGTGTTGTACTACACTGTGATCTTTGCTACAGTGTGTGTTGTGCTATACTGTGTTATGATACACTGTATATTGGGGTACACTATGTTGTGGTACACTGTATTGTGGTACACTATGTTGTGGTACACTGTGTTGTGGTACACTGTGCTGTGGTACACTGTTATGGTATACTGTGTGTTGTGGTACACTGTGGAACACTGTGTGTTGTGTACATTGTGTGTTGTGGTACACTGTGTGTTGTGCTACACTGTTTATTGTGTACACTGTGTTGTGCTACAGTGTGTGTTGTGGTACCTGGAGTTTACCTGGAGAGAGTTCCGGGGGTCAACGCCCCCGCGGCCCGGTCTGAGACCAGGCCTCCTGGTGGATCAGAGCCTGATCAACCAGGCTGTTACTGCTGGCTGCATGCAAACCAACGTACGAGCCACAGCCCGGCTGGTCAGGAACTGACTTTAGGTGCTTGTCCAGTGCCAGCTTGAAGACTGCCAGGGGTCTGTTGGTAATTCCCCTTATGTATGCTGGGAGGCAGTTGAACAGTCTCGGGGCCCCCGACAAATTATTGTATGGTCTCTTAACGTGCTAGTGACACCCGCTTTTCATTGGGGGATGTTGCATCGTCTGCCAAGTCTTTTGCTTTCGTAGTGGGGTGATTTTTCGTGTGCAAGTTCGGTACTAGTCCCTCTAGGATTTTCCAGGTGTATATAATTTATGTATCTCTCCCGCCTGCGTTCCCGGGAATACAGGTTTAGGAACCTCAAGCGTTCTCAGTAATGAGGTGTTTTATCTCCGTATTTGCGCCGTGAAGGTTCTCTGTACATTTTCTAGGTCAGCAATTTCACCTGCCTTGAAGGTGCTGTTAGTGTGCAGCAATATTCCAGCCTAGATAGAACAAGTGACCTGAAGGTGTCATTTTGGGCTTGGCCTCCTAGTTTTGGAGGTCTTATTATCCATCGGTCATTTTTTGTGATGCGTTGATACATGTTATGGTCTTGAGGTGAGATCTGAATGATCACTCCAGGTCTTTGACGTTGGTGTTCGCTTATTTTGTGGCCGTTTTTCTGATGAAAGATTTAATTTCCTCGTGTTTACCCTATCTGGAGTAATTAAAATTTCTCATCGTTGAACTTCATATTGTTTTCTGCAGCCCACTGAAAGATTTTTGGTTTATGTCCGCCTGGAGCCTTGCAGTGTCTGAATGGAAGACACTGTCATGCAGATTCGGGTGTCATCTGCAAGGAAGACACGGTGCTGTGGCTGACATCCTTGTCTATGTCGGTATGAGGATGAGGGAACAAGATGGGAGCGAGTACTGTGCCTTGTGGAACAGAGCTTTTCACCGTAGCTGCCTCGGACTTTACTCTGTTGACGACTACTCTCTGTGTTCTGTTAGTGAGGAAATTATAGATCCATCGACCGACTTTTCCTGTTATTCCTTTAGCACGCATTTTGTGCGCTATTACGCCATGGTCACACTTGTTGAAGGCTTTTGCAAAGTCTGTATATATTACATCTGCATTCTTTTTGTCTTCTAGTGCATCTAGGACCTTGTCGTAGTGATCCAATAGTTGAGACAGACAGGAGCGACCTGTTCTAAACCCATGTTGCCCTGGGTTGTGTAACTGATGGGTTTCTAGATGGGTGGTGATCTTGCTTCTTAGGACCCTTTCAAAGATTTTTAAGTTGGGTTTTAGGTATCGGTCTGTAGTTTTTTGCTGTTGCTTTACTGCCCCTTTGTGGGGGCTATGTCGTTGTTTTTAGTAACTGTGGGGCCCCCGTGTCCTGCTCCCCCCCATAGGATGGAAAAGGTTTTTTGTGACAGGGGCTTCTTGCAGTTCTTGATAAAACACGGGTTCCTTGAGTCGGGCCCCTGGGGCAGGTGCATGGGCATGTCTTTATCCCCTGTTCGAAGTCTTTGGGCGTCAGGATAACATCGGATAGGCTTGTGTTAACCCAAATTCTGTGGCTCTCTCAAAAAAAATTTTTTCTTTTTGATTTTCGATCTCATTTGGTTAGCGGCTTGCTAAAAACTGGTCTATTGGGATTTGGTAGCTCACTCTTTCCTTGTGTCATCTGGTAGGCCCCATTTTTTTTAAGTAGGGGCCCAATAGGGAACTTTTTCTCGATTTATTTGGCATAGGAGAAGAAATACTTTGGTTTTTTTCGTTTCATTCTGGCTTTTAGTTTTCCCGCGATTCCTGACCCCTATAAGTTTCCCTTTACTTAAGTCGATGCTTGCTTTTTCTCTGGCCAGTGTCCCCCTCGCTTTTTGTTATTTTGACTCTTTTTAGCCGTCTGTTATTCTTTTCCGTTGCCTGTAAAGGGAGCGCCTGTCTCTTTCTATTTTACATCTACTCCTCCTTTTTCTTAGAGGAATAAGCCTTGTGCATACATCGAGTGCCACCAAGTTAATCTGTTCTAGGCATAAGTTGGGGTCTGTGTGTTGTGGTAGACTTCTGTGTGATACACTGTGTATTGTGGTACACTGTTGTGGTACACTTTTGTGTGGTACACTGTGTGCTGTGGTAGACTTTTGTGTGGTACACTGTGTGTTGTGGTACATTGTGTTGTGGTACACTGTGTTGTGGTACACTGTTTGTTGTGGTACACTGTGTGTTGTGTACACTGTGTTGTGGTACACTGTTGCAGCACACTGTGTTGTGGTACACTGTGTTGTGGTACATTGTGTTGTGGTACACTGTTATACTCACCTATTTGTGGTTGCAGGGATCAAGTCACAGCTCTTGGGCCCCACCTCGTCACTGATTGCCACTGTGTTGCACACACTGTGTATTGTGGTACACTGTGTTACGTACACTGTGTTGTGTGTTTGATGATGTGAACATTTGTAAAGATTCAATAAATAATATACTTGACCTCATAGATTTTCTAAAAGTTACAAGACTCTGAGAAACCCAAGGCCCTGAAAAACCTCATTGATCAATCACCTTTCTTATAAACCTCTGCCATATAGTGCAATTTTTTTGTAATTGCTATTAAATGCTTGTCAGAAATTCAATAGCAAGTACTGTGAACACTTTTCATGTAATATTCACTTATGGATGTAATTTTTTCAGGTTATTTAAGTGCAGTAAGAGACTTGCTTATTGATAGTAACATGTCTGATCAATTAATGGAATTCCACTAGGTCATTGGTAGCTGTTTTAAGAATTTGAAACAGATTCTTATGGATAATGATTCTCTTGCCTCTGATGGGAGGTCCCCTGATCACAGGAACTGGACCTGCCCTTCCCTTGGAGTGAACCTGAATATTTCCCATTTCCCAAGGTGTATGACCCCTACAGGTTTAGCACTGTGCACTCTGAAGGATGGATGTAATGAGCTGTAATGTCAGTGCCCCTCTGGCAAGACAGTGATGGAGTGAGTGATGCTGAATTTTTTTTTTTTTTTTTTAGGTCACCCTGCCATAGTGGGGGATGGCCAGTGTGTTAAAAATAATAATAATACTTAATCAACTGAACATAAATGTGTCTTGCTTACAGAGAGTGTGCTGGAGATGCTGGAGTCTTGTGGTACACTCAAGGTTATACCTTCAGAACACATCTTCCACTCTGTCCATGATGCTGTTACCACACTCATCCATGACAACCCATGTGGTGGTGACGTAGTTATGATGCATACCCCTCAAAACCCCTCCAGTGATGATGTATCTATGATGATCACCCCTCACAACCCCTCTAACGACATAACTGCAACACTCACCCCTCACAACCCCTCTGATGAGGCAGTTACGACAGTCACTCATAACAACTCGCCTGATGACTCAATTATAACTTATGGTCATCACACTGCAGTAGTTACTGCACATGATATGACTTGCAGCAAAGTATAGTACCTGCTTAGGACTAGTAGTGCCAAAATATATTTTATTAAGCATAAATATGTACAGTATGAAATATTTGTTTAATAAAGTATTAAATATTTTAGCTTTTGATAAAATCCTTTGGTAAAATTGCTTCAATAAACATTTTCAAATTGACAAAATATAAAAAAAAATAATATTTCTTAGATCACTATGTAATGCAGTTTTTGTTCCTGGCAAGTAGGTGTTATTTTCTAACTCATTTTATTGCAAAACAATAGAAAATGTCTATTATTCCTTTTAAACTTTGCTTTTGTGCCTGACAGGATGAATTTTTGACAAAAAATGGCTAAATTTCAACATTTTTTGCTAGTTTTGAATGTAAAACAAAAACAAAATAAATTTTACATAAAATTTACACATTTTATTTTAGACTTTCTGAAACATTTGCAGAATTAAAAATGAACAGTTTTTCTAGATTTACAAGCATGCAACAAATCACTTTCCCGTTTAAGACCCCAAATGTATTATTATTATTATAATCAAAAAAAGAAGCGCTAAGCCACAAGGACTATACATCACCCCAAATGTAGTCTCGCATTATGTTTTCATTATAAGATCCCTAATATCCATGTTCAGTCCATTATATCTTGGTGGAAGTGCTGCCCTTGATCCTCTGAGTATGTTTCCATATTCTCCTTGAAATTGTCAAGATGAGCATCAAGGATATGGACCTTAAGGGACATCCCACAGCCCATCTGACCATAGCTTTTTACCATGGTCTCAACAAGTTCCACATAATTGTCAGCCTTGTTGTTGCCCAGATAGCTCTGTGCTACAGCCACTAAACTCTCCCAGGATTCCTTTTCTTTCTCTGTGAGCTTCTTTGGAAATTCTGAGTACTCCATGGTTTTCCTGACTTGTGGTCCAGTGAAGATGCCAGCCTTCACCTTTTCCTCTGATAGCTTAGGAAAAAAGTCTTGAAAGACAGAGAAATGCCTTCTGAATGCAGCATAAAGGGTTATAAACTACTCCACACTGATAGGGTCAACAGGAAGGGTGGTGGAGTAGCGATGTATGTCAGAGATAATTTAAATTGTTATGTTAGACAATATAAGATTAAAAACATTGGACACAGAATCTGTTTGGCTAGTTTCTCGAGTGTTGTGAAAAGTTTATTTTGGGTGTGATTTATAGGCCCCCAAACTTTGATAGAGAGTGTAGTAAGCTGGTATGGAACAAAATTCATAAGGCATCTAGATATGAAAATGTTGTATTAATGGGAGATTTTAACTTTAGACATCTATCTTACCCATCTATCTTACTCATCTATCTTATTATCTATCTTACCCATCCATCTTATCTATCTTACCTATCTTACTCGTGTATCTTTCCCATCTATCTTACTCATCTATCTTACCCATCTTTCTTACTCATCTATCTTACTCATCTATTGTATCTATCTTACCATCTATCTTACTCATCTATCTTACTCATCTATCTTACCCATCTTCCTCATGTATCTCACCATCTATCTTACTCATCAGCTTTTCTCATCATTTAAAACAGCTGCAACAACAACAACACCTGGAACTAGAATAACAGCTGCAACAACAACAGCTTTAACAAGAACAACAGTTTTTTAGTTTAATATGTTTATTATGCACACCATACCCATCCTGTGGGCGGTAGTCACCCCATACCCATGCTGTGGGCAGTAGTTAAAAGATTACAGAGGTACATAATGGGTCCAGGGACTAGACCCCAAAGTTATGATAGCTGAACTAGTTACAAAGGTAATGAACTCCAGGTAGATCTGGTCACAATCATGGCAAGTTAGAAAGGTAATGAACCATCCTCACTCCTATACATGGTTACAGTCATGAACAAATTACAAAGTAATGAGCCACTGATACGTCCACAATTGTAATGAGTTATAAATACAAATATTAAGTTGGTCATACACCCACACGAGCGCATACGTACACACACGAGGGCGCACGCACAGACACATGCACACAAGCGTACAAATATATGCATACACACAAGAATGTACATCCACACACACAAGCACGCACACCCACACCCCCCCACACACACACACACAATTAGGTGAGTACACACACACACACACACCAGACATCTCTCCGTGGGTCCTTAGAGAGGGAGCAGAGATGCTGTGTGTGCCATTAACAAAGATCTTCAACACATCCATTGAAACTGGGCAACTCCCTGAGGTATGGAAGATGGAAAATTAGTCCCAATTTTTAAAAAGGGAGACAGACATGAGGCGCTAAACTACAGACCTGTATCACTAATGTGTATAGTATGCAAAGTCATGGAGAAGATCATCAGGAGGGGAGTGGTGGAGCACCTGGAAAGAAACAAGTGTATAATTGACAACCAGCACAGTTTCAGGGAAGGAAAATCCTGTGTCACAAACCTACTTGAGTTTTATGACAAGGCAACAAGTAAGACGAGAGAGAGGGGTGGATCGACTGCATTTTTTTGGACTGCAAGAAGGCCTTCGAAACAGTTCCTCACAAGAGGCTACTGTAAAAACTAGAGGATCAGGCACACACAACAGGAAAGGCACTGCAATGGATCAGAGAATACCTGACAGGGAGGCAACAACGAGTCATGGTATGTGACAAGGTGTCAGAGTGGGCGCCTGTGACAAGCAGGGTTCCACAGGGGTCGGTCCTAGGACCTGTGCTGTTTTTGGTATATGTGAATGACATAACGGAAGGGATAGACTCAGAAGTGTCCTTGTTTGCAGATGATGTGAAGTTAATGAGAAGAATCAAATCAGATGAGGATCAGGCAGGACTACAAAGAGACCTGGACAGGCTACAAGCCTGATCCAGCAACTGGCTCCTTGAGTTTAACCCTGCCAAATGCAAAGTCATGAAGTTTGGGGAAGGGCAAAGAAGACCACAGACACAATATAGTCTAGATGACCAAAGACTGTAAACCTCACTCAAGGAAAAAGATCTGGGAGTGAGTATAATAACGAGCATATCTCCTGAGGCGCACATCAATCAGATAACTGCTGCAGCATACGGGCGTCTGGCAAACCTACGGATAGCATTCCAATACCTCAGTAAGGAATCGTTCAAGACTCTGTATACCATTTACATCAGGCCCATACTGGAGTATGCAGTACCAGTTTGGAATCCACACCTGGTCAAGCACGTCAAGAAATTAGAGAAAGTGCAAAGGTTTGCAACAAGACTAGTCCCAGAGCTAAGGGGATTGTCCTACGAAGAGAGGTTGAGGGAAATCGGCCTGACGACACTGGAGGACAGGAGGGTCAGGGGAGACATGATAACGACATATAAAATACTGTGCGGAATAAACAAGGTGGACAAAGACGGGATGTTCCAGAGATGGGACACAGAAACAAGAGGTCACAATTGGAAGTTGAAGACTCAGATGAATCAAAGGGATGTTAGGAAGTATTTCTTCAGTCATAGAGTAGTCAGGCCGTGGAATAGCCTAGAAAGTGACGTAGTGGAGGCGGGAACCATACATAGTTTTAAGGCGAGGTATGATAAAGCTCATGGAGCAGGGAGAGAGAGGACCTAGTAGTAATCAGTGAAGAGGTTGAGCCAGGAGCTATGACTCGACCCCTGCAACCACAAATAGGTGAGTACAAATAGGTGAGTACAAAGCTCTGGAAGCAGAGAGAGGACCTAGTAGCGATCAGTGAAGAGGCGGTGCCAAGAGCTGAGTCTCAACCCCTACAACCAGAATTAGGTGAGCACACACACACACACACACGTGGTAATGCTTTATTTACAGCTAGCAAAGTCAGGGTATTTCTCCAGAATGGTCTGTAATATACTGAGATTATAAAGTCACTTAAAAATAACTCAGGGAATCTGTCTCATGTCCCACCATTATTGTACAAGAGAGCGGCCCATGTCCTCTCGCATGCTATCTCATTACTTTTTAACAAGTCACTAGAAACTAGCACCTTCCCGAAACTACTCAAGATGGCAAGGGTTACACCAATACATAAAGGTGGTGACCCTACAGATTTAAAAACAACTATAGGCCAATATCAAACTTACCATTGCTACCCAAAATCTTTGAGAAACTCGTGCACAGGAGACTATATTCATTTATAAGGGCACAAAACATACTCAACCCCTGCCAATTTGGATTCAGGAAATAAAAGCACTAACGATGCAATCATAAAATGCTAGATCTGCTTTAACAGCATTGGAAAATAAGGAATATCCCCTAGGAATTTTTATTGACCTAAGAAAAGCTTTTGACACAGTAGATCACGACATCCTATTTCCCCAAAACGCTGTATAGCCCCTTTTGGGTTAGCGCTTCTTTTTGATTATAATAATAAAAATAATACTCCACAAACTTGACCTTTGGTATAAGAGGCATGCGCTTGCAAAATTTCAAATCTTAAACCCTTTCTAATAGGTACCAGTATGTCACCATTAAAGACACAGCTCAGCAAAACGGCACTTGATACTGGATTCCACAGGAAGTGTCCTTGGTCCCCTGCTCTTCCTCATATACATCAAAAGATCTTCCAAACGTATCCCAAACACCTGAAACCATTCTCCTTTGCTGACGACACGACTTATGTCATCTCTCACCCTAAAACTTGCCACCCTCAACACCATTGTTTAAAGAGGAGCTGATCAAAATATCGACTTGGATGACAGCAATAAACTTACGCTTAACATTGACAAAACCTACTACATTATGTTTGGTAGCAGAGCGGGAGATGCGCAAATTAACATTAAGATCGACAACACTCAAAATTGCCAGGCATAATGAGGGCAAATTCCTAGGCCTATACCTCGACAACAACCTGAACTTCAGCACCCATATCCAACACATAACCAAAAAAGTATCCAAAACAGTTGGGATCCTCTCCAAGATACGATACTACGTGCCGCAAACTGCCCTTCTCACACTATACCATTCACTTATAAAATCCATACCTCACCTATGCTATCTTTTGCTTGGGGATCAACTGCAGCAACACACCTAAAGCCAATAATAACCCAACAAAAAGCTGCAGTAAAATAATCACTAAATCCCATCCCTGGCAGCACACCCCCCCACTCTTCATAGATCTAAACTTAC